TCCAGAAGACTCTGAATAATAATTATTTAAAAATTTGGTATGAGTGGATATTTTAAAATCTAGTTTCTAAGAAATAAGCAATAAACATTAATAAAAGTAAACTACCCTCACATTTGCCCATCCTTACCCTCCACCTGAATATGAATGGACTCTCCAGGCCATGGTGACAACCTTGTTACATCACCTCCCCTGAACTTTGAGAATGTCTGGGAAAGAAGTCTTATTGGGCTCTCACGCTATGATATTTTCACCTCATTTCATCCAGAGTTTTTAAACATTATCGTTATTATAACTCAAAGCAATTAAAAATATCTGCAGGCTGAATTTACAAGCAAGACACACGTGAAGTAAAATTATATTGGCATTAAAATGCTCACCTATAATAATTCTAAGAGTAACCCCTGCTAGTGGTTTTGGATATTTTCTTTCTGTATATATTAACTTATATTCAAGTGTGTATTATGAGCCAAATCTGGATTATGCTACATGGTTTTTTTTTAAACTGACTTATAGTCAGTTTTAAAGCTCAGTTCTTTGTTTAATATTTATTATATGCCTGTCACCCAATAGTCTTCAAAAACATAATTATAATGACTATATAAAAGTTTATTTTGGGTGAAGAATTAGGAAGAATTCAAGGGAAAAAATTTCTATTAGATGAAACAATCCTCCTCCTCCGATAGTTATCCCTGATACTCTTTGCCATTTTTAATTTGATTAGAAATGGATGGAAAATAACTTACCTTCTAATCTCACAATGATCTTTTCATATTTAATCAAATTCATATATAAAGAAAGAAAAATGCATTCTTTACTTGCATTTTTTTTAACCACAGGAAGTGTGTCAAACATTCTGATTTAAAAGTAAATAGACTTAAATCATGTATGTATTTCTTAGTTTTTGCCACTTTGACCAACTGGACATATACACTCCTTTGTTTGGATACTATTAGAAAGCCACCCAAGGTTAAGTTTTAATTAAACAGCAAAAGCTAGTTTGGAAACAAACACAAATGATATTCCAGCCCACATTACAGAGGGAGAAGGAGGAAAATACATCTGACAAATGAAACATTTTTAAAAAGAAACATGATCACATTTTGTTTTTAACTATGTAAGTTTTTCTAAGGGCAGAAAACTATTGCTATTTCCAAAGCTAAAATGACTCAAATTTATATAATCAGTATGGTTACCTGCATACTAGAACAAAAGACTGCTCAGTTTCCTTGAAATTATCATTCAATAACAAAGCCCAAAGAGACAATTTAAAACAAAACCCCAACATGAATGTGGAGAGGTTTTCATGCACTGAGTATCTACCATTTGCATGACCTATGCCAGATTCGAGGATGCAGAGAGAAAAATGAAACAGTTCTTATACCCAAAAAAGTAGTGAACAGCTCCTTAAGTAGCTTCCTCCAGCAGTCGGACTTGTCACAGCTGGAGCAGGCTGAGGAGCAGCGCTGCCTCCCCAACAGAAGAGGGAGAAAGCAAAGGGCAAGCTTTATTAAAGCGAAACAAGAACTAGTCTAGCACTACAGACACATTTCCACTTTTCCAGATCCTCCTGGGGAAATAATACGATGTGTACCTAAGATAAAAAGAAAAAACTGAAATAACAATAACTGAGAATGTCTCTGCCTACTAGGGGCTATTCAGTAAAAAGGCAAGATGCTATTATCTCTGATGGACAGATGCTTAAGTTTAGATTACATATGCAATTAGAAAAGAAAAAAAAAGCAGGCTAAAATCAAGAGATATTTGATCCCCTTTTTTAGAACAGATAATACATTAAGTCAAACCTACAAGTCTATATATAGCAATTTATGTTATTAAATAATATATTTTGTATAATAAATACTAGCTCATGAACATACGCAGGCACATACATTCATATGTTCACCAAGCTATAAAAAAGAATTTAAACAGTTGCTTTGAACCACCTAAATACAAGAGTCAAATCTGAACTTACTATTTTCAAAATAACTTACTGTTAAAAAACAACACATAACTTATGATTCATTATCATATATTATATATGCACAAGAAAAAAAAAAGTCAAGAAGGTCCCATATCAACATGTCAACAGTGGGGTTTTTTTCCTCTGAGTGGTAGAATTAGAGGTCATTCTCATTTCCTTCTTTTTGCTGATCTGTGCCTCCAAATTTTTTCCATAGTAAGCACATATTGTATATAAAATGTTGAAAAACAGCCTCCAGGTTTTAGAGCTTTATTTACAAAATGGATCAAGTTAAGATATCCCATTTGCTACCATCAATATACTTACATAATATGGTTCAGCCTCCCTTTCAGTTATCTCATCCTGATACAGAGTGAAGCAAGTTGGAATTCGTCCAAACCACACATCTCGAAGCACATCTTTGTCATCTGTCATTCTTCCAGTGGTTAAAGCAGTACATATAGGCTAAATTCTTTTTCAACCAAAGCCAAACTGAAAATAAAATGAAGAGTATTAGTCAGATCCTTGCAAGAGTAAATGACTCTGCTCCAAAACAAAGAAAAGATTACAGGAAAAAAATTAATGTCATAAAGTTTATTCACTACAAAAAATGTGTGATCGACATTCTTAAGAATAAGCATAAAAATCAGTACAACAAATTCTAAATGTGGAACCATTATTTATTTAAAGGGATCACTGAAGTAACCATTTCAAAATTCCATATGCAATTAATGAGCCACAGCCAAAGTGAAACTAGACTTGCGTCATCCTCTCAAGCCCCAAAAGAGTCTACTGCTTATCTAAGGTGAACTCTTCAACTACAACTTTGTGTCTCAGCTTCTCATTTGTAAAATGGGAATACCAGCACTTACCACATAAGATAGACATGAAGACTAAATTAATATATGTAGAACACTTAGAATAATACCTATATGTAGGACTATAATCTAGCATCATAATTTATAGAACCAACAAGAGCATGTCTCAAAAAAATGTTTAAAAGTCAAAGACTTCAAGAACTTAGAATAACCAAAAGCATTATTAATGTAAACAGGAATTGTAAGAGTAAAGGAAAATACTAAAAAATTACTCACTGAACATTGCTGATAACACTCAATACAGAGTCAATAAATATTTGATCATTTGACATGCCCACCTCTGCGGCAAGTGCTGAGGGCATTCAAGATGATGATGATGATGGTGGTGGTTGTGGTGGTGGTACTGATAACATTTTTAAAACCTCAGGCATTGTCTGGTAGGTATTATCTATAAATCTGCTAAACATGCCATGCACTTTCATGTCCTTTCCATGACTCTGCTCACGCTGGTGGTTCCTTACACTAAAGTTGCCTTCCAAACGTCCTTCAGGACGCTGCTCAAAATAGGCTTCTTCTATGCATCAATCAGGCAGAAACTGTTTTCTCATTGCACCTTTACTTTTCCTCTACTATAGCACTTATGAGCTTAAAGATTGTTAATCTGATTTCCAATCTCATATTCTTTCCATCACACCATACCAACTGCCAAGGTCCCTTCCAATTCCAAAATATCCATGGTTATAATTAAATGTTACTTTGTCAGAGCTTTAATAAAGAAGGAGGGGAAGAAGTTAAATACTAATATAGCCTACAGTATTCAGGGAAGAATTTTTAAAAATATGGAACTTGAAGAACAGGTGTAATATGGAAAGCAAAAAGAAGACAAATATTCCAAGCAGGGCAAAACAGCATCAGCAAAGGCAAGAAGTGGGCAGGAGCAATATGTGTGCCAACTTTTTAGGAAACGTTGTATTGGGAGGAGTAGGGGTAGTGAAAGAACTGACATTGTGACATGTTTTAATATCACATGCGATCCTAGCATGTCACTTTACTTCACTAAGTCTCAATTTCCTTACCTGTAAAAGTCACCAGGTTGTTCTGTAAAAAATCTATAGTGTTTGACATGATACTAGACACATAGTAAGTGCTGAAATAAAAGCAATTATTATTCCTTTAAGGTCAAATTTGTAAATGTAAAATGAGACTGGGTCATGAAGCATACCAAATGGAAGACTGCGGATTTTTAATTTCATCCAGCAAGCCTAGAGAGCTTGTAAGGTTTTATAATGGTGAAATTAAAACAATTGTCTGGTAGCAGTGCACAAGAGGGGATCCCAAGCCAAAGAGCTAGCCAGAAAGCAATTTCAGCACTAAGGCATACAATAATGAGAATCTGACCTGGACTGGTAGCAGGGGATTGATGAGAGACAGATAGGAGGCCTTTCCAAGGAAGAATGAATAGAAGTTGGTAAAAAGACTGGCTGAGCGATAAAGAACAAGGACAGAGAAGATTTAAATGCTTACAGCACACAATACAGTAAGGTAGTTAAGGGGCTTTGAAATCAAACTGACTTAGGTCTAAACCCTGACTTCCACGTATATGTTGTGTTCTTGGACAACAAATCTGACATCTCTAAACTTCGTATCTGTGAACTGAAGATAATTCTAATTTCACAGGGCTGTTGGGTGTTCACCTGGTAACCAACCACTCAACAAATGGTAAATGTATTTAATACACGGTTCCTCATGCTTCCACAGCCCCTCAGCTTAAACACACTATGCCTCTTCTCTTGGCCAACTCTTAATCGTCTTTTAAGAGTCAGTGTAACATCAACTCCTTGGGAAGCTTTCCACAAAGCAAAAGTAATTTAATTACTTCTATTATTATATGTTTACTGTTATATGTTACAACCATGTACTGCAGTTATGTTAATCTTATCTGTCTTCTGCCCCTTCCCACACTGAACTATGAGTTCCTTGATGGCAGAAACTGAGTCATATGTACTTTTGTATCCAAGATATTAGCATAATTAGTACATGGTAGGCTCTGGAATTTTTGTTAAACAACTGGAAAATACATATATATTCAAAAGTTATACTAGCTACTTAAACTTTTCCACCTAAACTCTTTCCTAAATAAGTACAATCACCCTTTAAATTTAGCAAATTTCATTTATTTTAGAAAAATATTTTTCCAGTTCATACATACTCTACACTTATCAATGTGGTGCATCCAATTTGAAGGCACTGTGTTGGAAAAACAGAAATCCCAACCCATGATGCAGTCTACCAGAAGTAAGTATCTTGAGGGCAAGGGAGAGAGACAGCACTTCTTGACTGCTGTATTCTGGGCATTTAATTCAGAGCCTGGAACAGAAGTAGGTGCCCAACCAACAGCATTTAGCAAACAGCATCATGAGTATGACAAAAATAGAATGTACAATTAACAGTCCCTCGTACATGACAAACCCAAGAAAGGCTAACCTATCACCTGAAGCTATTATGCTGACAAAATCCCCAACCACCAGGAAGTCACTTAAAATATCAAATATCTGCTAGTAGTAAATTTATAAACACCTAAAAATAACACTCTAGGCTGGCGGGTGTCCCTTTAGATTCATGAATACTGACCTCAAAAGTGGGCTCTGAGTATTGCCCAGTGTTCTCATATTTCCCTAGTCCATTTAGTCTCCCAGATCACCTCTCTCTCCTCAGATTTTCACATCTCCTTCCTCACTCTCTCTCAACTAAAAACCTGGTTTTCAATTTCCTTCTATCTAGGTACTAAGGAACAGTTGTTCTCAACCTAGGTTTCAATGAACAGCCCCACCCCAACTCTGGGGGAGAGTTCATAACTCTCCAACCTCCAAAAGTTGAAGTGCTCCAGGGTGGTCCTTGAACCTTGCCTTTGGAGATCTCAGACAGGGCTTTACATTTACATGTTAACGATAACCACATTTATATCCTCAGCCTAGACTTCTCTTCTAAACTCCAGTTTCCTCTATACTACTGTATACTGGCACTCGAAAACTTAGCATGTGCAAAACTGAAAATGATTTCAGACCTTCCACCCTCTTTTCTCCCCCTATTACTCTGTGGTCTTCCTCAAATCACTAAGTGGTAACTCTATTCTTTCCTTGCTCAGGCCTTAACCTGGGAGTCGTCCATGACCCCTCTTCACACCTGATGGCTCTAGCTTAGACACAAGTCTAGAAGCCGACCATTTCTCACCACCTCCACTATTACCACACTGATTCAAGCCACCCTGACCTTTAACCTGGATAAATGCAATAGCCTACAAACAGAGATTTCAACATTTCTAACCTTGCTGCAGAGAGACAACACAGTAATCAGAAAAATTCTTTTAAGCACCAGTCAGATCAGTACAGTCCTTTACTCAAAACCCTACCATCATAAACTCCTCACAAAGTCCTATCAGGCCCTAAACGATGATCTGGCCCCACTATGCCTGATACCTGCTTCTCTCCCCACCTTGCTCTCTCAGTTCCAGCCAAACCAGCTGAGCTCCTGCCTCAGGGACTTCTTGGTTGCTCGGCCTGCTCTTTCCACATGGCACTCTTCTTTATCACTATTAGGTCTCTGCTCAACTGTCATCTTTTCTAAGGCCACCACCACAATTTCCTATGCACACTGCCAGCACTCTCCTTCCCTTTCATTGCTTTATTTTTTTTCTCCATAGCCCTTCTCACTCCCTGATACATTTTAAATTAATTTTTATATTAACGTCTTCCTCCACCGTCAAAATGAACTTCATGATGGCACGGATTTTGTTGTCTTGTTCACTGTTTATTGTTTTGCTTACTTTTTGTTAAGTGCCTGACACATAACAGGCACTTAGTACTTGTTAAATTAATAAAGCGAACCTACACTTAAAGCATGTATGTTAGTCTGAAAACTCATATCCACAAAGTACGTTCTGTTCACCTCTCCCAATTTTAATCAGCATACTTTGAGGATCAAAGACATGGCTAAATACAGTCTAAAATTCTAAAATTCTCCTCAGCTACTACCCTCAGCCCAAGATCTTTGCTTTCAAATTCAAAATTCAACCAACTCCCTTTATGGAAATCACAAAATAATTCGGTTCACATCCAAGTACCCACAGTCCCGAGGAGTCTGAAATTTATCGAGTAAATTCTAGAAGGCCTTGTAAGTTCAGTGCTGTTTGATAGTCTCTGGGTTATAACTCTTGCTGAAAACATGCCATGCCTCCCCACCCCTCAGAAAAATCTAGAACCAATAGTTTCCGTAGGTTCCTCAAATTCAAGTATGACTTGAAAATAATCTAAAGTATAATCGAAGTACGTTACAGTGCTTTGCCAATCGAAAGTGGCTTTGTCGGCACTAAATATTATTAAATGGGACTTAAAAAACGCCATCGAGAAGATAAAGTGAGGAAATACCCACCGATTTCGGATAGAATCAAACTGCCTGTGAAATAATTATGGTTCAAATAATTATTCCACGAAGGATGCGGCTCCTGAACTAAACTCTAGAACCTGTGATGGGACCCTCACTTCCTACGTTAGTAAAGAATAGACGTATTCCCGGGAAAGACCGCACAGCCTGTGTAAGGGCCCCGGGGGCGGCGCCTGGCCAACGCCACCTCCCCCGGAGGAACCACCAGCAGCCGGGGGAGCGCCCCTCTCGCGGGCCGCACGCCCCTCCTTCTTACCACACCTACCTGGCACCTCCCCAGCCCTCCTCCTCCAGGCAGTTCCTCACACTGGGAGACGGACACACATATATCCTACCAAAAGCGCCGGCTTCTCCTCCGGCTTCCCACACCACTGAGGACGCTGGGGTCCCCGGCTCCGGCGGGGCGGCGGCGCCGAGTGCCGGACACACCGTCCCGCAGAGGCGCACCAGCCAGGAGTCCGGACGGCCCCCGCAGCCGCAGAAGGCACCGGCACCGAGGTGAGAGCCAAGACCCGCTGCACTTCCGCTCACGGGGATCCAGAGAACACAGCCCGCAGCGCCGCGGAGCCCTGGAAGCCCACCGCAAGTCCAGTCACCCTCGGCGCCCGGAGATGACGTCACGGGACCCCACGTGGCCCGCACTCCGCCCTCGGAGTTCGGCCCCACCCCGCGAAGAGGCTGGAGCCGCGCTTGAGCATGCGCGAACGGGGCGAGAGCGTGAATAGGAGGTCAACACCCCTGGCAAGTTCACAGCTTCTACCCTCTTCCCAGAGTCTTGTGCTTTTGGCACAGTCATTGGTGCTTAGGGAGGTTGACGTAACAGTTCTATAAGAGCATACAGTTACTACTGAGACACTGCCTCACTAGAGCTTGATCGCAGCATCTCTCTCCTGGCTTCGCTAAGTAACATTAGTAAAACGTTGGTTCTCAAAGTGTTTTCATATCTATTTTCTCATTTGATCTTTTCCACTTTGTCAGAGCCACAACAGGAATTAGTAGCCGCATTTAACAGAAGACTGAAATACCTGAATACTGGAGCCCTCCCATCCATCCAATTGTGCATACCGTTATCTTCCTGTTGGTGAAAGTAACAATTAATAAACTTACTCCTGAAGAGTCTTTGAATTGGATCAATCCAAAAGTCCTAACCAGCATTTAACATCTTTGTCTTAGTTACGCATGCCATTCAACATAATACTATGCATGCCAAATAAATACTGTGCTGAAACTCCTGATAGGTTGCTGATAATTAAGACAAGAAAATCCTAGTAGGAGCCACAGAATCCTTTTTAAAAGAAGAATCGTCTTGGCGGTTGTGTAGCCCAATGATTTTCCAGTGGTGAATCACAACCCAATGGTGGGTCATCAAATCAAGGTAAGGAGTCCTCACTAGCTTTTTTTTTAATGAAATAAAATAGAAAATATTGGCATGCTTCACCCATGTTAAGGGTAAATATTTCCTGAAATTTTTACTTTAGTATCTATGTGATGTACAATGGATAGGAATGTGAAATATATTTCTTGGTATGAATAGCAGTCAAAGATATTTGAAAGCCACAATCCAGTTCACTCCACCTGTTACCAAACTCAGGTTCAGCTGTTCCCCACTCAAAAGCCAATAATTCTAGATGCAAGTGTCAGTAGAAAGGAAAGCTGCTTTAATTAGAAAAGCCAGCAATCTGGAGACATGGCTGTCTCCTGTCCCGAGGTCATCTCTGAAGATCTTATTCAGCCATGACAGTTTTTAAAGGGAAAAATAGGGGGAAGACTCTCAGTGAATCATCAAGGCGAGAGGTTGGGTTCTGCGTCATTCTCCATTGTGGGCAGACTGGCTGACTCTTCAGATATTATTTTGCCCCACCGTGATCTGCCTGCATGATTGCCACGGAGGATGTTGGGGGTAGAGAGCTAATCATTCTTTAACTACTTAATTCTTCATTCTTACTTCTTTTTATCTAGGAAAAGGATTAATAGTTCAGGCAAGGCATGGTGTGCTTTGAGGAGAGATTAAGTCAGGAGTTAGTTTCAATTGCTTAGTGATCTCATTCCTATAATTAGGTTCTTTTAAGTTTAGAGGGGGACAGAAATGAGTGAACAGGGAATGGGCAAAAGAGCTGCTTTAAATTTCCCACTATCAAACATCATTCCATTTCTATGGGATTAGGGGTGAAAATCTATCTTCTGTAACTTCATGCTGGCATAAGGCTCTGTATTCTTGGATTGGAAGATGTCAACATGGGTCTGTAGCATCTCTTTGTTGACAATTTTAGTTGCCCACTTACATATACAGGCAGAGCAAAGTACAGTCATTTTGATGCCCACAAAGATATGGATTATTATGAGGAATAATGTTAAGCCCATTCTTTTGAGGCCAGTTCTTGGAATTGTGCTGGCCATAGACTCAGTACTGCTCAAGATGGAGCAGCTTATTATGTCATGTCTACAGCCTGGTCATCATACAGTTAGCTCTTTTCCTCTGGTGACAGTTATAGTAACTGTAAAACAGTTCAGGAATTTGCATCAGACACTGAGTCAGTGACTCTATTGTCCTAATCATTAACTACTTGGTTTTGTACTTGGGGGAGCCTACAGGGTTCTGCTTGGCTCCACACCTACACAATGCAGAAATCCCCTTTATAGCATCCCTGACAGCCACTAGCCTCTGTAGAAAAGCTCTTGGGACAAAAATGTGCCACCTTCCCAACAATAGCCAAAATTAAATGGAATTTACTCTGAAATGCATCAGAAAAAATACGTTGATAGATAGATGGATAGAGGGATGGCTAGATGGATAAATAAATGGTAATGCAAGTAAAATGTTAGTGGTAGAATCTAGATGGGGACTATATAGGCATTCACTGTAAAATTCTTTCAACTTTCCTGTTTGAAAATTTTCCTAATAAAATGTTAGGGGGAGGGGAAAAACTATGTAAGGAGAATCCTAATAGGTAGAAAGTGATAACATTGAGCTAAAGTCCAGCTTCTTGTAACCTTTAAGAATTGACCCTGTTTACTTCCTTCCTCCCCTTGTCCCTCCCTTACCCCACCTACAACCTACAATAGAAATAGTTAATCCTTGTTTTGATAGACAGTACTTCAGCTATGAAAAGATAGCTCTCATTCCTCATAAGCTGCTTGGGATAAACATTGTTGGTTCTTTTAACCATTCTCCATATGGCATAACTCTCCTCTGGAAATGGGCCAGTTAATAGTGTCCCTATATAACAATTGTTGTACTCTTTCTCCTCGTATCATGATGCTCCTTGAGCAAAAATTTGGAAATAAAAGGAATTCTGTATTTGTGCTCTGTCATTTCCATTTGTCAACATTATGTTTTCTCTCTCAATCAGTGGCATTGCCTCTTTTAAATTTTTTTTCAATGAAGATAACTTTTAAGGAGCTCTTTTTGGTTGGTGTTACCATTTCCCCCAAGCGTCAGCTCATTCTGGGTGACTCTCAGGCTGCTGTTTGACTTGTGTGAACTTGCTTATAAAGTCCTCTTCCACCAAAAGCAAATATACAAATTCTCCAAAATTCTGGGTTCAAAGGAGAAACTCAGAGAAATCTCTGTTAATAATAAGATTTTATTTCTTCTCACTGTAATATCTTGCAGTTGTAAAGCCTGACTTTTTATTTTGCATGCCTTACAACTTGTAAGATTCAGAGCTATGGGATCACAACTTTCCTTTACTCTAAATTTACTTGAATCTGCTTTCCTAAACTCTAAGGTGTCTCTGCTACCCGTATGAACTCTAACATGCCATTATGTCCTGACCCCAAGGTTCCATCTACTCTGTTTCACTTCCAACCTGCTAGTTTCATGAGTTGGTTAAGCCAAATTAAATTCTTCTGTTAGGGTTCTAACTCTTTTGACTGTGCTTCACCCAACTAACCTGTCTCCCGGATTTCCCTCACTATTGGTTTCTTCCTTCAGGCTCAAGTGTTCCCCCAGCCTATTAAAATTCTTCCTTCAACCTTCATCACTTCTTACCTAAACTATTAGGATAACTTCTTAACTGATCTCCCTGCCTCCAGTCGTCTTCCACTTGCCCCAGGACCATCTATATTTGATTTCAGCTTCAAGCAAAGTGGATTACCTAAAATACACTCTAAGTATATCACTCTGATACTTAAAACTTCTTTGTGATTCCTTCTGGGCCCTCTATGACTGGTTCCTTCTTCTTTTCTAGCCTCATTTCTTGATTCTCTCTGCCTTGCATTTACAATTCCAATGGTATCAAACACTTTGCAGTTCCATGCACTCAGGCTGTCATGCTTCCATGCTGTTGTTCCTGTTGTCACTGCTGCCTGCAGTGCTGTCTCCATCAGACCCACTCTCCATCCCTTCTTCCCTACTTGGCATACACTATTTAGTCCCTAGTTTGGGTGTGAAAAATATTTCCCTGATCCACCCAACCTGGGTTAGGCACTATTCAATGTTTTCTCATCATTTTTTGAATCCCCAATGACAGCACAATGCCTGGCACTCAATAAAAGTTTCTGGAAATAAACTAAGCTGAATATGAACTTTCTTCCATGATTCCCATCACTTTCCGCTTAGGAACTGAATTCTTTCTCATAGCTTAGAGTTTAAGTAGAAAGTAGTGATTTCTCTTATTACTTCTTCAGTTTCAAAATTATCAGCAAGGAAAGTTGAAAGTGACTGAAATAACCCTGCTGTTAGCACAGCGGAAGTCCCACAGTCGCCCGGTAGTCAGGTCTCCACCACTACTACACCCTGTCTTGGTGCCAATTTTGTGATCTGCATGCAAAGATGTCATTGCTCCGTCCGCTTGGACTCGCATTCTACAGTGTATTCCCAGAACATGATCACATTCCTATTGTTCTATTCTTTTATCCTTTCTTAAACAATATGTCTCAACTGATGCTAGAATGGAAACACCTAAAAAGCAGGAATGTTTTCCTGAAAAGCTGCAAACTGGAGTTCCATAGGCAGGAACTGAACCATTTGTTTGATGTTGTAATGTGCTCTAACCTACTTTGGCATCCACATTGTGATATTATGCATGTGCTAGTGTCAGCTTCATTTCTAGTTGCCCAAACTGAAAATTCCATGCTCCAGAGATGGCAAGGTACCAACACATCAGAAGGACCACACTCTGGAAGCAGCTATCACAAGAACATCTGTTAACCCTGTCCTGATCCATGCCACCTGGTTGCTAATTAGCATAATGAATATCAGAGGTGGGTTTTTATTTTTGGCTTACTCAGAAGTATGATAAATGTTAGAAATGGAGTCTCACCTATGAAATTAGCAATATTTAAGATGTATGGGTTAACGAAAACATTTTAGAGATTCTTTCCACACTTGCATGAACAGAGTATAAGAATCCATGAAGCCTGCAGCTTGGTCTGTGTGTTTTTTAATGTATTCTATAAAGGTTATAGAATGCAGTCTCAGAAATGGTGTTACATATGCCTTAAGACAACCTTTCCTGAGAGGAGATAGTGAGAACACTTAAAGGGCAGTGAGCTGGGGTCTCATTGAGTTTACAGAGCAAGCTGTATGATCTGTTTTGTTTAATAGACCTCTGCATGTGCATCAGAATTTGGTCTGAGATTGGCTTCCATTATAATCCAGGTTATGGGGAAGTAATTAATCCTCACCCATCTCAATTTCTTTGGTAACTACAGTTATCTATGAAAAAGAACCTAAGAGTCTACATGATCAAATTAGCCTTGGTCAGTTAGCAAAAGTGACAGATATATTCTCTTTGTCCTTTAAAATGTATTCTAAAGGCTGAAAAAAATTTAAATGGAAACAGTTTTCAAAAATTTAGATTTCTGGCTTCTCCTAGGATCTGACAATCCTGTGCCCACACTCCCACATGGCAACCTTGTGCTGGAGTGGAGCTGCAGCTGCCCCCTTTTGGTCTGGGAATGCCCTCTTCAATTTCCCACTGACCCTATATTACCACTTATTGAGACGTTAGATTCCCTACCTGGACGCTAGAGGTGTTGGAGCTTAGCACTGGTTTATAGCTCTTTGTATTTCTAAGGCACTGCCTACATCAGTTCTTTGCACTTGGATGTTAATGTTTGACGAAAGACCAAAACAACCAGACCAGAATGCATTGTACTGAATAATTTAACAC